TTTTTTAAGCCTTTTATTTCATCTGCCTTTAAATCTATATTTTGATTATACATTCTATCTTGCGGTTTCTCTCATTCCCTTTTCAAATATTTTAAACTGTTTTCCTCTTGTTTTAATTCCCTATTCCAAATGGTGAAATTCTTTTTTTTTTACTACCAGTTCTGTGGGCATGGCTTGGTGGTGGGGATGGCTTGGTGGGGATGGCTTGGTGGGGATGGTGGGTGTGGCTTGATTGGTGGGTTAGGGGAAGGATACTGCAAAATCTCCATTCCAACCCCACTCCAGGGGAAGGATACTGCAAAATCTCCATTCCTACTCCACTCGGGGGCGAGCCAGAGGTGGCATTTGCTGGTTCTCTGAACTGCTCAAAATTTTCACTACTAATTCTCTGAACTACTCAAAATTTCCACTACCGGTTCTCCAGAACCTGTCAGAACCTGCTGGATTTCACCCTGCCCTAATCCCTATTAATTTAAATAATATCTCCTTATTGTTGTTTTAGTTGTCTTAGGAGATGACAAGTTGAGTCTAAGGGAGGGGTCAAATACATCATAAGTCATGAGTCCCTTCATACCCACAAGAGATCTACGTCCAGCCTACCTTAATTTCCCCTCTCATCTTTCTCATGTTTCCCTTAATGGTCAGCTAGCCAGATTCTTGTTGATTTTCTTGCTTAAGCTGGCAATAAATCTTTATATCATTTGAACGGCCTGAATCTCCTATTTTCCCTGGCACTTGGCAGACTACCATCTGACTTTATTATACTGATTTATTTTTGAAAACGTAATTGTTATAATAGATAATTGTTATTTGGATTAAAGTGGCTGGACTGAAGAAAGACTATATCTGGCAGATTTAAGACTGAAGAGATCACACACTGCATGGGCAGATTTAAGACTGAAGAGATCACACACTGCATGACTTAACTGAATAATATGTCACTATGGATTAGAGCAATTTCATGAAGGAAAAGACCACTGCTATCTATTTGTCATAGGATTTCCCTGAGAGGAAGTCTAATGTTATTGTGATTTTTTTAACTTTTTGCAATTTACATCTGTCAACTTTAATTTACAATTTATTTCCAATTTTTAAAAGTCAACTACTTCAGATTGTGTGCCATTATAATTGAACTTCATAAAAAGAAAGATCCTAGCATTATTTTTTGTGGTACAATTATGTGTCACTCTGCAAGTAGCCAGAGAATGGCTTAGTAGTGTATAAGTCAATCAGAGGTCATCTTACTAAAAGTCTCATCTAAATGCCACACAATTCAGAAAACTTAGCTTTTGCATTATTTTGCTTTACCTGATACCATAGGCTAGATGTGTCAAATTTGAGGCCCACGGGCCAGATACGTCATGTGCTGACCACACCCACCTCCAGTTTAGCAAAGGGGAAAAAAGTTGTGATACGTCGCAAGTTTGACACCCCTGCCATAGGCTCTACAAATAAGAACATATCTTTACCTTAACTGCTTGACAGCATTTGCAAAAAGGCTTCTTATTAAGTTGATTAAAATCTAGCACTAATTTATAATGCATGGTTTATATGGATGGATGATCAAAGACATCTCTTCTTAAAATGTTCTCAACTCAGAAAATTGCAGCAGAAGAAAGAAATGGGATCAATTGAGTAAACTCTTGCCTTGAAAACATTTTGCTAATGAGCCACCTGAATAAAGCTTGGACAAGAACACTGTGGGGTACCCTTTATTACGTTTATTTTAAAAAAGTAAAAATTAATTCTTGACAGTGCTAAATTTCAACAATAATGACCGTGGTCTGGAAAACAAATTTCCAGATATTTTTTGCCAGGAACTGTGGCTGGCATATTCAGATGCAAAGTGATAAGCTATACTGCTGCTGAAGATGCCAGCCAGAGTTTCTGGCAAAATGTTTGGAAATCTGTTCTCCAGACCATGGTCAGTAAATCCTAAAGCCCAACACCCCCAAACACTATTATCTGTGAAAGCTCATTGTAGTGAAATGTATTTTTTCTTGAGGATTACTCACCTTTTTACCAGAAGCCTGAAAGATTTTGATCAAAGAGCCAGAATTCCTATCTGTGCGGAATATGTACACCTATGAAGTTAAAAAACAATGTTTTATCTCCAATAAAATTAGATCAACTGATATAATTCATGCATATCAATGTGCCTATCATGCAACACTTTTTTGGGTAAGCAGTGTTATATGAAATGTAAAAAAGGCATAAAATATAAGAAGCCAAACATGATTAATGTTTAAGAATTTAGATGATAGATAGATAGATAGATAGATAGATAGATAGATAGATAGATAGATAGAGCAAGCAATAAAGCTAAAACAATTTTACACCAAAACATTCATATAGCACTCCATACTATTTTATCTTTATAAACCATCATTCTTTCCACCACTGCTTCATTGATTCATACATTGCCCTTTATTCTAAAAAAAGTATCTTTTTTTCTTTTTTGATGAACTCTATCCAACCACAACTGTCTCAAGCATCCTCTTTTTCATTTTTTAAAATATAATTTTGGGAATTCAATCCTTTTATCTCAATGAACTTCTTTTTTGCTGGTCACTCATTTTACTATTCAATCACATTCATTCAGCCTTCATTCATTTTTGACTCTATATTATTTTGCTTAAACACATCATTTTGACTATATTCAATTTGATTTTATGTTTTTCCTGATATATTTAACTTTCACTTTCATATATGAAAACAGCAACATTTTATTCACAGCCATTTTTGTCTATCTCACCATTCATTCCCTGCAGCAATCCATTCACAGCTTACTACATACTGTCATTTCATCAGATTTCAATTCCTAAAATTCCTCTCTCTAGTTTTTCATTTCCAATATAAATTGTTCTACCTCATCTAGTTTAATATTGATAAGCAATTTTCATTCACTTAATTTTTTCCTAAACAACACAGCTACTTTGATCTTTGATACTTTACTTTTCATATCATTCTCCTCGCTGCATCTTATAATGTAATGTTTGCTGAATATCATTCAGGATTATGGTTAAAAACAAGGCATCATGATCCAATCTGATTCAGTTCTAATGTCATTGCAATCATGCCTTACCCATTTATCCATAAATATTCTGAACAAACAAAGAAGATCTCATACTTGTGGCACTATCTGTTCAATATGGACTTCATGATTTCCCAATGTACAGAGAAAGGATACTTTTAAAGTTTCTTTATCAACATTTATTCAAAGGGGATAGGACAAAATTACTGAAATCTCAATCAGATTATTTTCCCATTTATAATTCAATTTATTTCCCAGCTTTCTAAGGTAGAAATGTTCTAAACTCGATGTTTTCTACTCATGGTTCCTATGAGAAATGAAGAGGATTTTCTCCTAACTGATAATAGAGGAATGCCCAGTTTGTTAGAAAGGACGTTGGTCTTACCTGAACGTCTATTTTCTGATGGGAGGAGGGAATGGTCACACGTGGGTCTTATCACAGCCTGATTGGTCCAAGGCTGAGAGGAAATCTATAAATACCGGTGCCTGTCCATTGCTNCTGGAAATCCTGTAATTTGATTTTCGGCCTGGCTCCTCCCACCGCTTCTGAACTAATATTTATGGCTTCTTGAGCTGTTGTCTGAGCTTGTTGCTGGGCTTGTTGCTTCTTCAGTTCTTGTTCCTTACGTTTGGTAGCCACTCGTGTTTGTCTTTGCTCCTTGGCAACTTCTAACTCCACCAGAGGATTCTGAACTTGGGCCACCTCCAATATCTTTGAGTATCTTGCTGTCTAGTCTCTCCTGCTTGCTCCCTTTCTCTAGATCCTGGAGATGAGGGATGACCAGCCTTTAGTAGATTGCTGTAGAAATCTCTGGCCTTCCAAACTGAGTTAAGACAGTATCTTTGTCCCAGGTAGTTGACCACTAATCCAGCTGCAGCTGTTTTGTAGCTGACGGTTTTTGAGTTCGTCCACTAGGAATGCATAGTCTTTTCTGGCTCTCAGAATTTTGGGTGGGATTTCCTTCAAAACCATCACCTCCTGGCCCGCAATCTGCAACTTGGTTTTATAGAACTCTTGTAGTATCAGGTTTCTCATATCCCTTGTAGCAAAATAAACTACAATGTCTCTTGGGAGTTGTTTCTGTCTGGCAATCTATGAATTGACGTGGTATATTTTGTCCAATTGCCAGTCATAATCCCTTCTTGGTTGACCTACTAATTGATCAAAGGCTTCTGAAAGAATCTCCTTCAGGTTTTCTTGATTATTCTCTTTAAGACTTCTTATTCTCAGAGCAAGTTCCATCTGCCTATATTGTAGCATTATGATTTCATTTTTTGCATCGTGAACCTTGTTTTGGACTTCCTCCATTTTATTTGCTAAATTAACATTTGACTCGTTAACTTCTTCCACTTTTTCCTCCACTAGGGATATGTAGCCAGATAAGCATTTAAAGGTTTCCACAATATCTTCTCTGATCTCTTGGTTACAAATCTAAATTAAGTCTTTAATCTGCAAAATCTCCTCCGAGAGCGCCTTGAAGGCAGCAGAAACTTTTTCCTGTATTTTAAGTTCTAAAGCAGCTGCATGGTTTTTTAGAGCGTCGTTTAAAACTCTTTGCAACACCTCTTGGGTTAAAGCTTCTCCAGCAGGAGGAGGGGGGGGATAGTAATGATTGTAATTTATTTGTCAGGGCTGCACAGCCGCCAGCACTTTTAGAGCCCAATGTTGTTTTAACTTGTTTTGAAGCCATTTCTAACCTTCANTCCATTGCTAGCCCAGATTCTCTCTCAGCTTGGACCAGGCTGAGAGAGAATCTGGGCTAGCAATGGACAGGCACCGGTATTTATAGATTTCCTCTCAGCCTTGGACCAATCAGGCTGTGATAAAACCCACGTGTGACCATTCCCTCCTCCCATTCTGGAAAATCCAAAGTTCTCTACAGTGCCTTAAACATGCCTTAATAGCTAAATTATTATTTCCATAGCTGTCTTTTCCATCATACATTGCTCTTATTAAACAATCCATTTTAATTCTATTGTCTTTGAACAAAACATTACATATTCCCAACTTATTCACTTTATCATGCATTTGTTTCTCAGAGAAAAAGGGTATATATCTATATATAATGCATTTATTTACATAAAATATAATTATTTATTTTTATAATTAATTTATTTATAATTATATAAATTATACTTTATATAATTTGTATATGTATAAGGAGACATTTCCTGGCAGTGAGAACAATTGATTAGTTAGTGGAATCGCTTCCTTCCAGAAGTTGTGGGTGCTCCTTCACTGGAGGTTTTTAAGAAGAATTGCATAGGGTCTCCTGCTTGAGCAGGTGATTGGAGTAGAAAATCTCCAAGGTCTCTTCCAAATGTTATTCTGTAGAGAACAAAAATTGGTTTGTTGTAGGAGTAATGTGACGAATCACTCCTTCATACATACATTAAAGCTACATACAATTTTAATCCCTGTCACTTCTTGCACCCTTTAATTAGAATTCTGCCATACCCATTCCCAGATATATTTAACAAATGTAAGTCACATGGTTTTACATGTACTCTTGTTACTTTCTCTTTTCCAAAGAGGAAAAGTAATGGCATTCTTCCAATCATCAAGTACAAATGAACTCTTCATGCACACATTAAATGAGTCAGCTTCTTCATAAGCAATTATTATAGGACATCCAAGTTATTAATTCAGTGGCAAAAGATCAGAAGCAGCTGGTAGCATCTTTTTCCATTAATAAATTTTGTTAAAAACCTTAATTTTTGCAGCTTACTTTATCATTCAGATGATAAATAATAAAAATAATGAAGTAAGCACAAAATATCACATTTATGTCTTAATATTAAAAAATTGGTCATGAAAAGTGATACCAGATGCTATAAGCAAATTATATCAATATAGTTTGCTGTTTGAGGTACACTTACATTTCTCAACATTTATTATTTCTCTTTCATTTATTTTTTATTGGATACTAACACAATATATATTTCAATTACATTCTTCAACGTATTATTTTTATACCCTTTTCTATACAATTTCCTCATCTTAAATCAAAGAACACAGAACAAAAGAGTTGAAGGGACATTGTCTCCAAGTCCTGCTCCAGCAGGAGACCCTATGCTACTTCAGATAAGTAGTTGTCCAATCTCTTCTGTGATTGAGTACCCACAACTTTTGAAGACAACTCATTCCACTGGTTGATTGATTGTTCTCACTATCAGGAAATTTCTCCTTAGTTCTAGGTTGTTTCTTTCCTTGGTTAGCCTCCATCCATTTCTTCTTAGTGTGTGTTTTTTTTTCATTAAATCATTTCAACACTTTTTTATTTTGTTTCCTCTCCTAGCGGCTAATTAAGACCTTTTCATCCAGTGCCATCTTTTTAAAATGTCCATCAAACTTGTTTTGCATAATTTCTCTCCTTTTCAGTATTCTTTCCTTTCATTGAGTATTCTACACACTTTATAAAATATCTTTAATTTTTTACATCAATATTATATAAATTCTCAATCACATCTTTTTCATTTTCTGTACCATAATTCTTTTCAATCTGTTTCCAACAATTTCCATAGCCTCTTTCAGTTTCCATCTAGTCTCTTGTCAAATCAATTTAACCTCCCATGCCCATTTTTGGTCCCAGGAGGCTTCAGGGAGGCCTGCTAGGCCCAAAATGGGGGGTGGGGGTCATGCATTCATGCGGAGGGCAGGGGAGCATGGGGGGGTCACATGTGCATGTGCGGGGGGGACAAGGGGCAGTGTATGTATGTTGTGCATGCAATGCATTATGGGTGTGGGTACATTGTGCACATGGTTGTGCTATGTGTGCTATTGTGTACTATTGTGCACGCAGTTTCGGCAACAACAACAAAAAGGTTAGCCATCACTGATATATACTTTTCCAAGTATATATGCATGAGTAGTATTATGCTCTCATTTTTTCAATAAGCAATTTTTAACAGAATGTACACTATATGGTCATCATCTCATTAATTTTTGAGACTTGAGTGAGTAGAGCATTCACTAAAGTTTGCTTTGCTGTTTTCCTTATGCATTTATGCATGAAAACCAATAGAATTTTTTTCCTCTAGATCTGATGCATTTTGAAAGTTACACAATTTTCTCTAAAACTCCTGACTTTTCCTTTATTACCATTCACTCAAGAACAATATGCAGCCATGACTATGTAATGGATCCCTATTTCACACATATCCACAATCTAGAAGATGTCAAATCATAGTTTCTGTCAAACTACATCTATATTCCTCAATTCTAAAGATTTGACTACTTTCATTCAGACTTATTATATCATTCTCATTTTTAGTTTCACAGTTATATGTTGTCTATTTTTCCTCAACTCATCTGTATTCATGATTTACTCCTCTTGCGTACCGCAGTCTTCCAAATTACAACTAACCCATATATATTAATCTCTAACATCCATCATGACACTGGTTAATTAAAGCTTTCACAAAATGTATTTTAGTAAGATGGAGAAGGTTTAGATTAAGTTATTCAGCTCGGTCATTTCCATTCGCCATGCAGGATACCCTGTTAATAGTAAGCACAATCTAGTTTTACCACAAGCACAATCACATTAGTTTATGTAAGTTGGAATTCTAATCAAGAAACTATATTCCAATCATATATTGCAGTGTTCTATATTAAAGATCAAAATCCTTCCTCCACTTGGGGAAACATGTGGCTATACAAAGGTATAACATAGTTTGTTTTTGGCTCTGGGTGACGTAGAAATGGAGATCCATGAATATGTGACTGTACAGCAGTAAAATCAGTTAGAAAGTAAGGTTTGTGTTTAGCTTCCTGATTTCAACTGTGTATTTAATGAGATGTAAAAACATGGACTTGTTTGTGGTTTTCCAGTTTACTTCTATGTTATGTTTCTGCCCTGTCTATCTAATCCATGAAAGCATCAGGCAATGGCAGTCAAAAAAGGGAAGGGAGGAACCCAAGATCTAACCACACCACTTTTATGCTTTGCTTATCTGAAAAAGTGATTCTGATTCATTTTAGGCTTGTTAAAAATGATTAAAATAAATTAGAGGTTAAATGTAGTCTTTGCACAACTATACAGACTGCATATAGTAGCGATTTTTATGCTTCAACTCACTCTAAAGGATGGAAATCTATGGATTAGGACATCCTAATCAGGAATGTGGAAGTTCCTGATTAAAAATAAATTCTGCTAGAGTCTATGGAAAACTACTGCTAATTTGAATAAATAATATTGAGTTGGGTAATACAAAGATTTTCTAAATCTTTGGTCTTGATTACTGCCAAGCGTTCATAAAAATGATTGTGTACATGGTAGCCACAGCTTGAATTTAAAATGAATTGTGATTTTTAAAAAAGGAAGATTTCTCTATCTGCTGCTGCTAGAAAATGGGTGAGGAGATTCTCAGAAAAAAATGAGAGTAAGACAAGGAAAAACTTGAACAAGTAGGTATTGTTAATTATCCTCCTTTTGTTACTGGAAATAAAATATTTTCAGGAATGTTCTTCAAAATGCTGCAACCCCACACTTCTTTTCCATTTTCTCCTGGATGAACTATCAGTTGAAGTTTGATCAACAGCCAAACCTTTCCAACGCCTCCATCCTGGGGAGCTCCTCCAACGACGTCCATGGTCATCAGTTGAGAGAAGTGACCTGCTGCCACCGCATATCCTGAGCGGGGCATTTTTAGGGTGAAGAAGCAGAGAGAAAAAGTGACCAAAAATATCAGGGAAAAAAAGGAAATGGGGCCAAGGCTTAGGTCATCTATCTGGGTAAAGCATTTTTCCCCTTCTCTCAGAGTGGAAGTTAGAGTCAAGCAAAAAACCTTCAAATTCTATAAGAGCCTTACTTTTCTGGAACAGGAAACTCACTGTTCCAGGTCTGAAATAACAAGCAAGTTTTATCTAACAACAGGGACGTACAGTCAGGGGAGGCAGGGCCTCACCAGTGTCATGAAGAAAAGAAAAGAATAATTAAAAGTAAAAAGGCTAAGGTAGTTGCTGACAGAGTAACAGTGGATGACTCTAACTTCCACTCTGAGAGAAGGGG